TATGGTATTACGGACATTGGAATAGAAACAGTACTATGGATCATAGAAAATAAATACCCCCGCCGCAGTTAACCTGCAGACTAAGCGAATTTCCATTTACCTGGCTGGACTTCTACTAAAATATTCCCTTAAAATTGTCAGATTTATTTCCTATTTAAATAACATTAATTTTAATGAGTACTTAGATTTGCTGCTACAGGGAATGTATTGAGGTGTTTTCTCCGTAACTAATCTCCGTAACCGTTAGGCATACAACAATGCTCCAATATACAAAATTATTTCTTTTTTAAGCTCTACAAAATGGTTTGAAAGGAAATTGTGAAATTTTCTGTTTTTAGGGTAAAAATGGGAAATCCCTATTTTTACCCCATAAAACCCCCCGTAAACCCCTGTTCCCATAGTCCGATCATGCTCGTTCGCGAACTCGTTCGAATAAATGTAGGTTTACACGTTTGTACCAAATTTCATCAAAATCGGATCATTTTTGCTCGAGTTATCGTGCTAACGGACACATATATATATATGAATTTGAAGGGATGGTGTTTTTGGCCTCTGGGGACCGCAAAACAAAAAAGTAAATTGGTCCTGGGTCTAGGTGTTACCATGAGACCTTCGGTAATAGCTTATTCCCTCCCTATATGGGAAATTCGCTAAAATGACATCACTGGCTTTAATTGTATTTATTTGAATGTAATTGACTAATCTAATTTGGATGAAAGATGCTTGTAAAGTTAACTTGAACATAACTGAATAGCCGAAACATGTTGTAAATTTGGTTACTGGCCCCTTCTTGTCGAACTGTTGGCGTAAGGTATGTACCTATCAGTCTTACACCACATCTCAGAAGCATTAAGATATTCTATACTGGCAGGTCTCTTTTAACTGTATGTAGCATATTACTTCAGAGGTGTATATTGTTCTACTATACCAAATTATACTATTTTATATTTTTTCTATCAGATATTACAGGTAACAAGTAATAGTTTTTTTCTCAAAGATACCAGAAAGAATGTTTAATATGTAACTCAATATTAACAATTGGGTTACCAGTATTTATTTGCCAGTTAACTTTGAAATTTACTGAAAACTATGACAAAACCACGAATAGCGTTGTCTACACAATTAAGTTTTTCTTTATGTCTTAGAATGTTGGAATACAATAATTTACTGTTCAATTTGCAAATGTATGTAGTTTTAATCTAAACTAGAGGTCGTCCAGTGGCCGAAAACTAGGCCAAAAATATGTAGGCATACAGTTGGAATTTTTTAGCTAGAAGCGGTTGAGGTATATTTATTTGATTATCTTTGAGTTTGAGGATGAACCTTTTTGGCTGTAGTGAGCGTGATCACGTGTTCAATGTTCACATGTAATTTTTTGAGGTTAAATCAAAACAAACAAACTGGCATGTTGTCAATTAGGGACAATGTTGTATTACGAAAGAAGATTCAATTAAGATCAAATAAATTAATTTAGCATATGTCATTGTCTGATTTATTAGAAAAAATTCGGTATTTTTTTGGTTACTGCATTTTATAAACCAAACTCGAATCTTGCTTCCTTGGCCTATCGTACAACGTTTTCCTGTTTGGTACCTGGTAAACTTATCAGATTGCATAAGTGAATTATAAACAATAAAATTTAGCTGTTAATTAATTATAATTTAAATGGGTCAAAACTGAAAACGTAAGTCTATAACGGTTTATCTCGTTATCCTGAGAGTATAAAATTCTGACCCCTAAATTTAAACCCTTAAAAGGTGGGTCTGGTCTTAAGATATTTCCAAACGAAACGTAAATCATCATTATGCCCCAGCAGTTTATCATGTGTATCCCACTCACAGCAACTACATTATTCTGTTAATATATTTATCAACATTCATTTTGCAACAAGATATAATATTGTTGTAATATTTGCTCATGTTAAATTATTATTTTCTAAGTAACCATCACTTATCTTGAAGACAATAATCTAATAACAATTTATTCATTAGTTGATTTGGAATTAGGAATCACGTCTCTATTTCACAGTAAATATCCTCGAATGACCAAGTATTTTATTAAAGTAGAGTAAGTATGTTTAACTATTTTAAATTAAAAGAATACGGGGTGTTAGCCCACCCTACAGATGCCCGTGACAGACAGGAAGACAGACATTGAGATAAAACATTAAAAGCTTTTTAATGTATAAACGGAAAAATAACCGAAAAATACATAATTCTGAACGATGTACAGACAAAATACTAATTTTATTTATAGATATTTCATATGCACAACCTTTCGATTAGACCCTAAGTGTTTTTTTTTTCACTTCTATAAAAGATTTTCTTTCTCATAACGCTTGATGAACGACTTATACACCTAATAAAAACTTACTTGAATAGACTTAACTAGACAATCCTAACGAACTACTGTAACTAAACAACCATGGGCTAATATTTCTTACTTTACTGTTACACATGTTTGAAATTTACAACATCTTGAATAATTGCACTACGTTGTGTAATTTGCGTATACGTTTTGCGTGTAATTTGCGCATTTTCCCGGTAACACGGGCAATGGAAGGAATTTCCATTGCCCGTGTTACCGGGAAACGTTTTTTTTAGCAAAGTCTTACTAAGTTAGTAAAATACTAGAGTTTAAGTTTAATAAATTAAAATGGCCGCCATTTTAAAAACTGAAGTTGAATCAAGATAAACTTATTTTCTAAAATGGGTCTATTTTATCTTAACATACATACAAAATTTCATAAAGATCGGTTGCAAAAATCAAAGATAAAAAACTTGATGTAAAAGATACAAAATGGTGAATACCTTGTTAACGAAGTGATTTTGGGAAAAATGTTTCTCTTGATTTTCTCTTTATTTTGACCCAAGAAATCAGTACGTAAATTATGTCCCCACCTTTTTTGAACACCCTGTATATATGATTTGAACGAATTGTGTTTTTGGAATATTGGGACTTAAAAATGAAAAAGTAAATCGGTCCCGACCCTAGGTCTTACCGTGCCACCTGCGGCAATACCTACTTTCCTATAGCGAAATTCGCTAAAACCCCGAAAGAAATTGTTATTTGACTCAATGCATATAAGCTAATCTCCACTTCCGATGCAGATAATGATACAATAGCAGAGGAATGCGCGAGACAAAGGAACAAGGCCACGGCACGGTTGCCATAGAAACGACGAAACTATCCATTAGAATTGCGCGCCAACGTCAACTAAACGCCAGACTGTATAAACACGCCACGTGTGTAGTGTTCGACGGAGCTAGTACTTTCAGTTGTCAATACTGGATTCTAGCCTCGAGCGACGTGGTTCAACCATGGGAAGCGCATCAAACTCCTGGGTAATCCCGGTTAGCTCCTCCCACTCTGTCCCTTATCCCCACCAAAAAGACGAGCAATTGGTAAGTCGGTAGGGTTGATTGCCGAGCAGTTTGTTTCTCGCATATAATAATTTAGTTTTACAGGCCGGTCAACTGGACTGACGACGAAATAACTTGTCGACGTACTGGTTTTCAGTATTTATCTATTTATTTAAAAAAGACGGTCTAGTGGCCAGACGACCAAGTATCTTGTCGGTCTACTGGTAGGCTCCCGTATTTATGGAGAAGGAAGATATTTTCTTACATGTCTAGCATTAGCACCCAAGTTACTTTATGCCTAATGGCATAATATACAGCAATGAATGGCACCTTTCTCCTCTCTCGATAAGAACTGTCATGTGTATACTATACGTTTGAAAAACATCCAGTTCCTGTCAGTCACACAAAGTTGCAAAAAAGGAATTCATTTTGTTTAGTTTTCTAACTGGGCAGTTATATTTAGTACTTTTATTTTCAAGTGTGTTAATCAATAAGAGTGAAACCGAACACAAATGTGGAGGCCACGCCAGTCTTGATTCGTGAGTTTACTTATTAAAGTCATCAAACTCTTCAAAACCACAGAAAAACAAGTTGTTTTTTATGGTTAAAAACTGGATTCACAAGTCATTGATTATTGAGTCTATCACACTAACATTGCCCAATATTACTTTAAAACTCCAACATCTTTGTTGAATATTTTCTTTTGCAGAGGGAAAATTTCTTTTCAACTTTTGTTTAAATTTACAGTCATGTATTCATATTGTTTTGGAAATGTAAACAAGCTTAGTTTGTTGTTTTGTTTTGTCATGAACACAGCTCGTTTTTCTTCTGTTTAAATAAATCATTCATTTTGTCATTTCCTAATTTCTTTGAAATACTGACATCGTCCATGATATCATATCATATCCGTGATTGTGAATTGACTACTACAGGTCCCTAATGAATGATTCTGACTAAAAATCAAGTAACAGAGCTACTCAATGCATGTATCAAACACATCCTTCATTCTCAGTCACCTTGAAATACCCTTTAGTGATGAATGACTTATGAGTGATTAACTAGTCATTTGAGAAATGTCTATATAAGTGTACTACTAATTTCACATAGGTATAATTAAAGTTAAGTATAATTTCACATAAATATCAACTTTTTTTAAAAACCTTGTAAGTCTATGACTGTAGTAAATTTGTATATTTTCCACATACTCCTCTACCTCTACACTAAAGCTAATCTTAATCAATTAACTTGTAGAGAGAGTATACACTCTTACAATACAAGAAACAAAATCCAATCTAGACATCCCTGCCCATAGATTGGCTAAAACTGACAACTGCCATTACATAAATTGCATTTGGATTTTAAATAAATTAGGTTTGGCAGCAAAACTGGTTCATTTGAATAGGCTCAAGTCCAAAATGTTTGAGTAGCTCATCAACAATCCATATTATTGTATAACAGAGTACCTACCTATTTTATGGCTAATGTTAATATTGATTTTAATTTAAAACCCACTATTATTGTTGTTTTAGTTTTTATTTCTGTTGACTTTGTCTATTGTAAAAAGGTCAATGACAATAAATCTCTTGATTTTTGATTAGCTTAGCTTATTATTAATAATTCAAATCTTTCTTGTTGCAGGATCGAGCGGTAAAGATGTTTAGCCAGGTGAATGTAGACTTCGGCCAAAGAATTGCTGATGGACTGCGCAAAGCTATCTTTACAGACAAATTTCTCCATCTTGTCTTGTCCAAAAACATGTAAATCCCTTAAAACTTAGTGATGCAACTTACAATAGATACTCTTATTTACTTGGGTTAGTTCTTAGTCATAGGTACAACAATCCTGATCAAAACTATTTGAGTATATTATTAACTTTAAAATTGGTTACAAAGATGTTTTTTGAAATCAAATTATCTCCATAGAATGTATTTATTTAGTAAATACATTTATAAGGGCTTTTAATTTGTATGAATATGATACAACTTGTAACAGTTAAATCAATACCTTAGCTTCTTGTACTGATATATGTACCTTAACAACTAATAATTAGTATGTGTATTGGTATTAATAAAATATTCTTGGAAAAACAGTTAAATATTTTTTGTGGTAATCACCAATGAACTAATTATTTCATCCAAAGTTTTTCATAAATAATATACTAGTAGAGAGATGTTACCTATCTATTAGTTTGATCTATTAAGTTTGGTTAATAATCAATAATTTATATACAGGAGGATGTTAGTAGCATACATTAATGAAATATAAATAAAGAACAAGAAATGTAACCACATGAGCCAAATTATTTCGGATCCAAATCATTAAGAGGGGGCCGGACATAGCTCAGCGGCTCCCGGCCGTGAGCGACAATTTAACATGGAGCGCAACTTAAAATTCCCGGTTTTCAGGACTATGTGGGCTTCTAAAATTTTTTAAAGAAACACAAAGCATAGAAAATAGATAAGGGAATCAACCTATTGGGAACTGAGAAGAAGTCTCCTCACAGCTTCGCACTTTGGTCGCGTGTGCAAAATACGGGAAACGACAGGTTGTGAATCCATAGTAAAGCAGATTCTATACACCACTGTGGACTGCGAAGCAATGACTTATGGAAGAAGAAACGAAGATGTTGCTCTAAAAGAGCTAGAGAGTATTTTAAGTGAAAAGGTGGATAAATGTGGCCTTTTCATAGACAAAGACCACTACTACCTTGGAGGAAGTCCTGACGCCTTGGTCAAAGATAATGCGACAGTTGGGATCAAATGTCCGTTATCTGCTCAAGAAATGACTCCAGATGAAGCCAGCTCCGGTGCTCCTATTGACTTATATTTTACATGTCTATGAAAATAATTGTTGGCACAGGATCAAATGTTAACTCTATAATGCCCAGTGCCCACTACTCTGCCTTGTCGAAACTTTCAACAGTTTTATTGTGCCAGCCCAAGTGGTCCTGACCCTTGGGGTAAACAACCCTACGTTTTTTGCCCTTCCTGAACGACCGGTCCGCCATTAGAACTGCCTTGCCGACTGATACCGTGAGCCAGCGCCACAACTGTAAGTGAGTAACCAGAGCATTAAAAGACGATTTTGAGTCTATGTCCGGGCCCCCTCTTAAACCAAATTACTCCCATAATGAACCCAAATCAATAGTTGTTAAAATTTAATAGAAAATTAGAAGAACATCTAGTTAAGAGGGAATTATACTCACTAGATGAGTTTTTAATAACTAGTGGCCTTAAATTGAAGATTTGCTTACAGAAATTATTAAGGTTTAAATATCATAAAACCAATGTAAAAAACACTTATTAGTTTTATGGATTAGTAAAAAAATGTATGACACATTTAATGTACTAATGTTACAAAACAATGAGTAAAGCATGTTTTGATATAAAAATAAATGGTTTAGCTGTGTTCATGATCAGTGATGTTTATTTTTTTTTTTTAGAAACCACATTACTTTATCTTAAGTATCATACAAATGATTCTGACTGTAAATCAAATTGAAATTTGTATGCCATCAAATGTTGTCTATATGAATAAAAAAACTTAAGCATGAAATGCCTCGATTTTTATTTCCTATTACATACTGCACTGATAATCACTCTGATGCATTAAACCATCTGAATTTACCTGATGCGGAAACAATTATTGCCAATAACTTTATGGATACTCAAGCTAATACAAATGTAAATAAAGTGTATTAAACATAATTCAATCATTGGAAGCAATTTCATGATTGGAGCAACTTTTTCACAAGGAGAATCGAGATCTGGCAGTGAGACCTGGCTTATGATAAAGCAAACTTTGTACTCCATTCACAGAGCATAGAATAAATATAGGGGCGGCACTTGCCGTCTGGAGTGAAGCAGGCTTCTCGTACCAAGATGGCGGCCGGCCCGGTCTGCATTTACATTTAAACCATTATATTGTTACCATGGAAACCACCAATCAATATTTACTTTAAAAAACTCTCACCTCAGAACTTTGAAAGCCCGCGGGGCAGAGTCCTAGGTCAATATCGAAGGGGAATAGTTTTATATGTATCCTCAGAGCGGTAGCTTCATCTAATTCATAAAGAAGCATAGAATAACACAGTGCTAATGACACCGTGTTTTAAAAGTTCCGAGCCCGACTCTCTTACCAAGATGGCGGAAATCGGCTTCACTACTGGTGTAGCTGTAGGTATAGGAGTGGCGACTCTATATTTATTCTATGCTCAGTGACTCCATTTGATTTACTACACATTTAAAAAAGGCTTAGTGGTACAAAGAAAAACATTTTCTTCAAGTGAAAATTGTATTTAACTAGAAAATGCATAATGTATTTTTTATGAACATAAATGTGCATTTTGATTATTCTTTAAACTACTGCAATTTTCTTTTATCAAAATAGCTGGTCAAAAACTGGGTTGATCTAGTTCTAACTGAATGTCAATGAATCTAGTTAGAACTAGATCAAACCAGTTTTTTCCAGCTATTTTGACAAAAAAATACAGTAGCTTATTTAAGTATAATCAAAAGGCACATATAATAATCTACATTAAAAAAAAAACTACATTATGCATTTTCTAGTTTTAGACCAATGTTTTATTAGAACATATTGTATTTTTAATTGAGGAAGTTTAAACTTGAAAACAACTCATGATTAGTTTACTCCAATTCAAATAGTAAACAACAACCAATAAATGTTGTGCAATAGGGTTCCATAGTCATTACAGATTTCATCCTTGAAACACAAGTGATTGTAATGATTTATATCAATTATTACCCAACATGATCATTGTCATGATCTTCAATGTGGTTTACTTTTGCTAACTTACCATGCTACAATTGCAAGGAAGTTTACGGGTTTGTTGACGCAGGATTGATAGCACTTATTCACCACAACAGTTGATTAGAAAATTGCATCAATTTTCCCATTGAGCTCGGAGGCACTAGTGGTCCAAGAACTTTCAGGAACGTCTCTCAAAAAACTACAATATGTATTCGACTCTATTCTATAATCGTGGTTTAGACATTCACATCCAAGGGATTGAAAAGGATTTGCTTTTGATTTTTTTGCTACATCTTTGATGTTAATTTATTTATTTATTTTACCTTAAGGGTCTTCAAGTAAAAACAATATAAAGCCAATCTAAAATTTTCAACTAAAGGAAATCTTTAATTTTTTGGAAAAAATAAAGTTATGTATAGATTGTAAATAAACCACACTAAAAACTAAACAACGAGATAAGTGACAAAAATAGCTTTGTTTAGATAGAGTTTAATAATACAAAAAATACTAAGTCTCTTTTTATTTTAGTCTATATTATTTGAGGTCAATGCTCTTATAAGATGCAAATTGGTGGAATCAATTTGGAAATAACTTGCACTATTTAACTCTTGTGAAAAAAGCATTAATATTTATTAATGTATAACACATACATTTATCTTTCTACTGAAGAATATTGTTTCTTGCAACTAGTAGCAACTCTATTCCTAAACGACGTGGTATATTAGGTGAGGTCAATACTTCAGTATGATAATTTTTTTGGGCATCACTCACCTTATTGAAATATTTCAATAAGGTGAGTGATGCCCAAAAAAAATTATCATATTGTAGTAGCAACTCCTGAGATGTGGGGTGGTTGACCCCCCTCCCCCTGGGTTGAATGAAGTCTAATTGTATTCACACAAACATATGATTATTGATTTGATATTTATAGTAAAATACTCAAAGTACACGTTAATCATTCATTAATGGTACAGTATTTGTATATTGGAAAGTTTGTGAGGGGGGGGGGGGGTGAAACACAGAATTTGCGAGGCAATGTTCCCCTCCCCCCAAAAAGTCTATCGTGCGAACCCCCTCTGCATACATCTGTCGTTGAAATTATTTTAATGGTTAGTGAATATCAAGATTAATTGCTCAACCACATCCTTACATTTTGAAACTGGCCTTTTTTATGGTGTTAATCGTATAGGAAGAAGACTTGGAAAGCAAACTTTTATGACTCATTGTCATTAAAAAAACACACAGGTGGTGCTAACTGTATTTTTTTGGTTTCATTTATAAACATATTTTTAAAAATATATCATTTTTCAGGCAAGATAAAAGCTATGAAATACAAAAATAAACATTGTATTTTTTGTTTTGAAACAATGAAAATTTAATTTTGTTAATTTTCTGACTCAGTGCTTATAAAGTAAAAAATAAATAGTTAGTCCTAGGAACACTGCCCAGTGCACCGGTGCATGGATTGCGTTGTTCTGGGAGACCGGTGAGTTAACCCAGCAGACAGCTATTTCCTCTTTTTCCTCCTCAGGTGCAAGATTTATGCACTGGAGAAATTGTATGGTGGTCATAATACACCGGCGGCCTCTGATTGGTCAGTTTCTTGGACAACAGTATGCAGCTACGGCAAGATAGCAGGTCCATCGATAAGTTATATTACGTAATGAGTGAATAATTTATTCTATGAGGGAAATACGTAATAAGTGAATAATTTTTAAATAATTTATTCTGTGAGGGTAAGTTTGTTTGATATAAATATTATACAGACTGTCCCAAAAGTCCCGGACTGGTTTAATATTTTCTAAACGACAACAGATAAATCAATAAGATTTGGTACATCAACACCACACCTAAAAATCTACTTTTTTAAGGAAATATCAATTTTCTGTCATGGGGACGTCCCGCAAGGAGTCAGAAGGAAATCTTAAATAGAAGCATAGGTTGACATGTACATCAAATTAAAGGTATTTACTAGCAGAATATAATGCCGCAAATTTGAACTCAAACGGACAACCAAGTCAAGAATGGCAGTGGTTCAAAGATTCATTTAATTTGCATTTGGGGGCACAGCCCTAGGAATCGGAAAAAAATTGTTAACGTAAGCATAGGTCGATATGCACATCAAATTAAAGGTCTTCACTAGTAGATTACAATGCCTTAAATTCAAGCTCAAAAGAACGCCTGAGTAAAAAATGGCAGCTGTTCAAAGATTTCTTGAACCTGCCATTTTGAATCTTCGTCCAAAGATTCAAAATGGCAGGTTCAAGAAATCTTTGAACAGCTGCCATTTTTTACTCAGGCGTTCTTTTGAGCTTGAATTTAAGGCATTGTAATCTACTAGTAAACGTCTTTAATTTGATGTGCATGTCAACCTATGCTTATATTTAAGATTTCCTTCTGACTCCTTGCAGAACGTCCCCATGATATGACAGAAAATTGATAGTTGAGTGAAAATTTAAAAACGTACGTTTTCATGTCCCTGGCCTTTTACTTCGTAGATACTGTATTTGTAGTTTATTATTATGTGTTTTAATATTTTTTGGGACGGGGGCAACATGTTACACACATTTATTTGGTTTTAAATAGGTTCTAGGTATTTTTTATTTATTTTTAAAGTCTCGAAATTCACGACCATGACGTGTCCCTAGGGTACATTTTCCAACTTTCACGCTGTTTTTAGACTAATTATTCATGCCGAAATATATAAAGCCATATTTTTATGTCATAAATGGTTGTTAAACTTACAAAAAAGGAGCATATTATAATTTTATTGTCATTACAAACTGACTACCATGACAAAATAAGTCTGTCCCTCGATTTGGCGTCACGACCATTTGGGAAAAATTTTCAACTTTGAAGCACGACAGTGGCGAGCCTGGCGTCGATGGAGTCAGTTGGTTTTAGAGACTAGTTCGGGGTGTACGTCAGGATTGTAGTGCCGGTCGTTTCGAGTTGAAAGGAGGAATTACAAGATTAATAAAGAAAAGATTGTGTTTTTTGTAATTTTGGTGTGTCCATGACCATACGTAGTCATTCGATGAAGTAGACATGGTGTTAATTTTTGTTTATAAGATATTTCAATTGCTAGATTAACCTAGAAGTCCACTTTGTATCCTCGAACATGAGGTGCAGGGCTACCGCCAGAACAGAGCCAAATAACACGTAATTTCACGACCAAAGTTTCACGACCATTGCGGGTTTTTTCACGACCAATCCAGCCTTATGGATTATAGTGGGTTTGGTCGTGACAATAACTTTAATATAATTGTAAATTTAACAGCTTAGTTCAATTGAAACACATATTTTTATAATAACTAACATGATAATTGAAGGATTGTTTAGAAAACTTAAGATTATTCCAGACAATTCACGACCGTACCGCTTGTCCCTGACCATCACGTTTATGATTTCTATCATAAAAATTTCAAAAATTAAAATATCGTCATATTTCAATGTTTTATACACAAAAGAAGCACACCTCTATACAAACATAACAATTTTTCAGGTCTCAGGTAAGTTTTTTCGGAGTTATAAAAACTTGAAAAGATTTTATTGGCTATTTTTCAATTTTTTGAGTTTTTTTTTTTCTTTCTAGAAAGACCAAATATACCAAAAGCTCAGTGACCTTTTTATTGTATAATGGTCATAAAAGTAAATTAGTTTATAGCAAAACATAGTTATAAAAATAATATTAACTATTTTTAATATTCATTTAAACGTCCGTTATGGTCGTGACAGGATTTTGTGTTTTTCCACTAAAGATGCTCTTTTAAAAAGAAACTACCAAAGATATTGTGTTACAATGGACATTTTATGAAACTTCAAATGATAATGAAATAAAAAAAAATAAAAGTTTTGAAAAAAGGGGAAAACAATTTGCAAAGTGCTTTTCCTGAAAACGTACGTTTTTAAATTTTCACTCAGTTCCTTTAAAAAGTAGATTTTTAAGTGTGGGGTTGATGTGCAAAATCTTATTGATTTATCTGTTGTCGTTTAGAAAATATTATACCGGTCCGGGACTTTTGGGACAGTCTGTATAGTAGATGGATGTGTAAATTATAATCCAATGTGTACACCGGTTTACGGTTTATCACATGGGCTTTTGCCTGTGCGTGTTAAAGAGAGAAAAGAGGAGGTTCATAAGTAGAGGAAGTAAGATTTCATGGATGTTGTGAGATCCAGGTCTTTTGTAAACTCAACTCATAAATTAACTACACACACACCCCTACTTTATTTCCACACAAAGGATAAATTATTTTATTTTGTAGAGTATAATGGACAAATTTTTCCCACTTACGTATTGTGGTATTTTGTGAGTTATTTTTTACAGAAATGAAGAGCTATTGTTCAAAATGGAAGCGAGAACATTTGTCCACACACTAAAGCTTTTTGAATTTTAGTTTTATTTTGTACAATACAGTAAAATATTTTTCCACAGAGTCGGTAATATATATTAGTTTTAGAGAAGAGGTTAGTTATTCGTTAACAGAAGTTAAAAGGTATATTGTACAGGAAAGGAGAATTATTTTCTACATAAAAAATTAAGTATTTTGTACAGTATTGCACAATTTCCAGCGAGGTATTGTGGTATTTTCCCACAGTGGTAGTTTGCTATTTTCCCATACCCTCCAATTTTGATTGTTGCAAATAAGGATGGAGATAGAGAGGGTACGGTGGTCATGGTGGGATGGAGTCAATTGGATCAGGAAATTGACTCTCGGCTGTGAAGCGTCAGTTCTCGCTACGTCCACGTGAGGTAAGTGTTGCACTCTTCATGTCATTTATTAATTTTATGGATTAATTTTTGTTTATTTATCCTAGATTTTTTTCTTTGAAGGGGTAAAAAATATACTTCTTAGTTTTTCATCAATACAGGCTTAAGTCAAAACTTTAATTGTTTTGCAATAGTTAACTTATTTAAGTACAAATTTCATTCTTATTCTTGAAATCAAACACTTAGCAAAAATCTGTTTTAAACTATAAAAGAAGTACTTATATGAAATGTTAGCACAAAAATAATACTTATCATCGTTACAAATTACCATATGTGTAATGAATTATTTTTGTCTAGGGCAACAGATTTCTGAAATCAACTTTTTGCATGACTTGATATTGTTGTTTTGTAAAGGTACAGAGTTAAAAATTGTCTAGCTGTGATTATCAATCCAACAATTTACTATTTAGGCTACCGGTACCCAAACAAGTAAAATATTTTTCCTTTGTACTTAAACTCTATCCTGCTTAGTGTTCACTGTGTAAGGGGAGTATTAAACCATATATTGATACAACTTTTAATTTAAAGTTTATTTGAGTATTTACATATATCTATGTTTTATCCTAAGTTACATCACCGCAAGCCTAATAATACGTTAATTGGACAAAAATGCCCTAAAGGGATCTCTAATGAGAATAACAATAATTTGGATGCAAATAAGATTTTTCTTGAGGACATAAGATTTTTTACCTTTTAAACCTTTCTACAAAAAATGGGAACTGTAAGAACTACATGTGTTTAGCCTTTACAGTTCCATTAATAAAAAAATGTTCATTTAGTTATTTATGTAAAAATTCTGTTAGTAAAATTAACATTCCATAACAATTTTATTTATACGACACCCAATCAAGTCAAAAAATTATTCTTGTTGCAAAAATATATATATATTTTTTTGGGGGGGGAGGGGGGTTAAGAACAAAAATAGTTGGCTTGAAAATTACAGTTGTAGTATAAACGTAATCTAAATTTCAATTTTATTGTCCAATTCCAAATGCAGTATAATTTCAAATATTTTTTAAAATGAGTCTATGTACGTTTTTTCTTAGCACATCATATTTTTCGCAATTGAGATTATGTATTATTTCCTTACTTTAAAGTAGTATTTGCGGAAGGAACTATTCCTAGGAAGCTCTCTTCTAGAAGTTTGTAGAACTAATAGAGGTTCAAATGGAGAATGATGATCTCGGTCTGACATGTCGCTGCGGCACATTTATGAATCACGTAGTTGATGATTGCTCTTTGATGGCTCTATCCTGGTTTGCCCATTTGGTATGACAATGGATTAAGCTTTGTGCAAGGAGAATTTTAAGATTTAATTTCACAAATCTACAAAGAACATCAGGTTTTTTACAATAATCATCTCTTATGGTTGGCATATATAATCTTATACACAAAACTAAAGATTTTAACTGAATAAAAAAAAAAATTCTTCATTAATTTCTTCATTATCAAGCATAAATTTAATTTGTTGAATCTGACCTTGTTTAATATACACTTTCATGTTGCTGTGTCAAGTGCTACAATCGTTGAAAATGGCTTTACTTTAAAATTTTTTCTTAAGTATGTCTGTGTTGATAAGATAAATTGCTCTGGACCAATAAGCGTGTCACACGAGAAAATAGTTAATTTTTATACCCAACCAACAGTTAAAAATCCAAATTATACATTTCTACTACTTTCTAAAGTGGTTACTCTACTCACAAGCCATTTATACTACGTTTTACGCAGGTATTTCCAACTCCCCAGACCCCTCGGTAGGATGGTGTCCTGGTTGTGTCCCCCCAAAATCTATGATTCAGGTAACACTTCTGTCAAGAACTAATCTTGTCCCCTAAGTTAATAGTTACCAATCAAAATCAATTAGACAGAAATAAGCAAATTATCTTAGTTCACATAGTTTGCATTTGATACAAATTTCTTAAAACTACTTCCCTCTGGTGTCTTTGCACTTAGTTTTACCATCGATAAAACATAATCTCTTAGTAGATTTCCCAATCCCCCTAATGGAACAGCTGAAGCTAATTTTATCGTTAGTTCTGTCCAGTGCACTCTAGAGGTCGTGTTTTGTTTACAATTTGTTTCTTGTTGTTTCAGTCATTTAAAAACCCGTTTAACCAAATAAAACTATATAATCATAAACAATAACTCATCCTCTAGTTATATAACCAAACAGTAAAGCACAAATCATGAAATTAACTCTATAATAGAAACATTATATCGGTGACACTCGCCACCAGTGTCACCGGACATGAACTAGACACGAAAAAAAGCTTCAAAATTTACAATGGTATGGGAAGTCTACTTGAGTTGGTTAGTCTATGGTTCTACCTTTTTATCTTCACTCCACATTATTCGCTCATCTAGATTTTTCAGGATTGATATGGCTTTTTTATAATATTGGTACTGAACTTATTATTGAGTATGAGCAGGACAGGATAGGGCATCTTGTCTAGTTAAAGCATATGACTACTAGCGTTGAGACACTTAGCTAAGTATTGGTCAAGGGTTTATTGCTGTAGATGCATCTATCTACATAACAAAAAGGATAAATCCCTCAACATAAAACCAAATGATAGTTTAATTAATTGCTACGACTTGCTTTAACAATTAAACTTTGTGAAAAATAAAAGAGCATGCTTCTTAATCCAGCAAGTTTCTCAAAATCACAAACGTTATTACAAATATCCAATATTAAACAGTACCGAGTTCTAATCATAGTAATGAAAACCTGTTAGAAAGCTTGAATTTATTATGAGGTAAAGGGGGTTTTGTTTACACTGACTGGCCCTTACCAAGATCATTTTATCATTTGTCAACTTGATTTTTTGTAGTTATGATCTATGCATTTAATTATGTAATAATGAAATGTCCACTAATGTAATTTTGAAAAATTTTCAAACCATACTAACACATTATCGGTAAAATTTTGGTCTCTTGTAATTTTCCAATAAAATTATAAATTTTGCATTCCTTAGAATAGAATATTCAGTAGATGATTTTTTTATGAATAAAACTGTAACTGTACTATTGGCTAACATAGCAAAAAACACAAATTGCAGGAATTACTTTAAATTAGATTAACACCATGTTGAATAAAAAGCATTAATTATGAAAATAATATATTTATTAACACACTCACTCCCGTGTGATGTGAGATCGTACATACAGAGGTGTGTGACAGCTGGGACTGAACCTGTTAATAAATATTATGAGTTGCCATCAGTCAGCAGTTCGGGCAGGTTCTTCAAGCTCCCTTTTGTCATATTGAGTATTGTCCTAAAAGAAAACAAAATACTTATAGCAAAAATTATCATACTTCAGGTAAATCAGCTGATAAGCATTTAATTGTTAAAGGGTGTATCAAGATAGTGTTATACTAAGAATTTCTATTGTTAGATTTCACAATTATTACACACAAAGTTCTTAAACCTATTTCACCCTTTAACCTAAATACTGTAAGGAATTGCTAAATAAAACAAAGTGAAAATAGGCTCCATTTTATTTACAAGGGATTCTCACAATCAGGGACGGATTTCCCACTAGGCACACTAGGCCAGTGCCTAGGGGCGGCACCCGTCAGGGGCGGCAGGCCCTCGACCGGTGCCGTCGCTTACGTTTGCTGCCACTTACGAGTGCCGCCGCTTACGGGTGCCGTCCCTTACGTTTTTCCCGCCGCTTACGAGTGCAAAATCAAATCAAATCAAAATATCATTTATTTCGCAAAAAAACAGACATAACATAATATTATGATCCCTGTACAAAATTGTGCCGCCCCTTACGTTTTTCCCGCTGCTTACGAGTGCCGCCGCTTACGAGTGCCGCCACTTACAAGTGCCACCCCTTACGTTTTCCCGCCGCTTACGAGTGCCGCCGTTTACGTGTGCCACCACTTACGAGTGCCGCCCCTTACGTTTTTCCCGCCACTTACGAGTGCCGCCACTTATAATGTATTTCCCGCTGCTTTTGTATAGTGTGGTGAAAAATGGCGTTCGTACCACGGGTCGAAACGGTTTTGCAGCTCTTGACTTGGTCCCGAATTTAAAAACCTACGAGCCGGCAAAACCTCATTTTCGGTCCTAGGTACGAGGGGGCAGCACTAAGGATAGTGCCTATGGGGGAAATATGTATAAATCCGTCTCTGCTCACAATACTGGTTTAGCAATTGTAAATGAACTCTTTTCCATTACTATTTAGAGTTTTATTGAAAGCACTTATATCAATTCTGCAACAATTTCACAGCAAAATAACCTGACCTTTTTTAAAACTGGGATGGTAATGGAACGCCAAATGATTGAGAAAGTAATGGATGTTAAAAACACAAGTCAGAAAGACATGGAATATTAAATTTAATAAAGAGTGTGAACCAATGATCTAAAGCACCTACTACCGTACCTACAGTAACTGTATCCGACCAAAATATATAACACATTCAATTGGTAAAGCCAATTCAAGGTGTATGATAAATACCCCCGTCGTAGCAAACCTGCTGACTAAGTGAATTTCTATTTGTCTGGATTGATTTGCAATCAAATCTATTTAAATAACATGAGGATTAACGAGTTTGCTGCTATAAGGAAACAAGTAAAGTGTGGTTTTAGTGGGAGCGTTTCATAAACTCCAAATTTCACAAACTCCAACGCTTAAAATAATAAATAAACAGAGCGGTTCATAACCTCCAAATTTCATAAGCTCCAAATTTTTAATAGCTTTAATTCAAGCTTTCAGCTGAGTTTCTTAACTGTTCCGTCTCTCAATTAAAAAGCCATTACAAATATCGTAAGAGATTTTTTTTACCGATGAAAAAATTTTAAAACATATAAATATGTTTTATAAGTATATTTTCTATTAGCTGTTAAAATTTCATGATGATTACATCAGTAGTTTTTTTTTTGTTATGTGTAAAAATAGCCCTTTGTTAGAAAAGTGCCGAAAACCTTGTACTTTATTTATTCTACCCACTAAAAGGATGAGTTTAAACTACA